AATATTGTATGACGGTTCCGACGTCATTGTGTTAGTGTTATAGGATATTATTATTCGCATAGGTCCATGCATAGTTAATGCGCATACCCAACACTGAAATTACCAAATACTTAACAGTTCAGGTTAAGTCGCGATTTGTCGATCCTCGATAAATTTAGGCGAAACCTATTGTTCGGCGTTATGATGTAAACGGTCACCGTACATTTATTATGTGATAATAGAAAACGATAAAATACATTTTACGAATTTAGGGTACTAAGCAAATTTAGGTTGCACGGTGCTGACGTTGAATGCAACCTAGTTGGATCCCTAAATAATTTGTTCACAACATGCCTTCTGCACGTTTTGAATAGCACAAGTCTGTGTGCTACATAATTATTAATCGATAATCTCGTGTAATATGGTCTTTGTGTTTTGTAATTGGACAAACGTTGTTCGCAAAATATAAAAAAAAAAATCATGACTGTGGACAGTGGAGTAATAAGTAAACTGATTTAACTGATGAAAAATAACGCTGTCGCGACTAATGTGATTCGATAATTATTGTGTTTACCGTTTTCAAATCTACTTGGTAAAACTATGAAATGTCAGTATTATTTTAGTTGTGTTATGCACATTTTATATTTTCTGCTATTTCGAATAGATATTCTCTCTCCCTCTCTCTCTCAAACAAAAATAGTAGTTTTTGTATAATTTAAAATCGAGAAAAAAAGATTTAATACATTTTTCAATTTATTTCATCAATTTTTATAGTTTACGGTTGACCGATTTTTTTAACGTTTTAAAAGAGATTAATCCGATAACTTTGTCGGAATCCCATCCATTATCTAGGTATTTAAATTCAATTTTTATAAACCGTAATTACATTATTTCAAATAAAACGCATTTTGCAATTCAAATAAGTAAGTTTGTATTTTTTTCTTTACAGATTACATTTTTTGCTTGTTTTCCATCAATTTTATCTAGATCATTTATTGGATTTTTTTGTTTGCACTTGCTTGCTAACAAAGTTATAGGGGTTCTTGTAATTTGTTTTTAAGAATACTTTATACACCGTATTTACTCTGTTCTTCGGTAATTGTTGCAGCTAAGCTTGACTCTTTTCATATAAAAGCGGGTTATAGCTTTGTTACATTATTCGCACTTTTTCTAGTGGATAATCAGTTTCCTTTCCATACTATTTAACAATTCATTCATGTATAGTTTACTTTTCTCTTTATAGTACTCTTGTTTTTGGTTTAATTTAAAGATTTCTTTGTATTCTGGAATTTTAAAAGACTAAAACTTGAGATCGATTCTTGGAAGGATTTATAAACTCTCTTAATAGTTTTCTTGTGACTCTAAAGCTTGTATATTTACCCAGATTGCAATTGTACAATACTTTACAGCCCAATAATTATTGTGGATATGTTCACAATGTTCTAACTTTTATTTTTACATTTTATTTCCAAATTACAATTTCTACTGTTCTGCTCGATGCAAAAACTTAAACATTATTGGTGTGTCCATCGTAAAAATACTCCCACGGATATTAGTCACTGCTTTGGGTGGATGCGTGCATGTTGATGATTTCGACGTTTATGAACTTTGAATTCGTTCGCATCAAACAACGTCATTCTGTTGGAAGTTGTATAAAAAAACTCTATATCTAAAATTAAAGATTTCAAATGTACAAAACAAGACCAGTAACACAATAGCTAGTATAGTTTCTTAGCATAATAGTACTATGTAGCCGTTAATTCGTGTTTGTAAAGCTATAATTCAGGCTTAATCTCCTTATGTTCCCATTAGATTTTCCAAGTATATCAATAAATATTTCAAACTTTTGTTGGTGATTTTTTATTAGTTAATTATTTACGATGGAAGTACCAATCAATACATTTTAGGAGAACAGCTACAGGTATCCCGGATTCAATATGCCGGTAAACCGCAAACGTAACAGTAGTCCGTTAAGATTCACCACTGTCCGTTAGTTTGTAGGAAGAACTGATCAAAAGAAAATATAGCTTCCCTCCCACCTTCTGAATTTCAAACATGTTTAATTAGCATTAAGTAACATGTCAGCTATATCACAGAGCGGCAAATGAAACTTTTGTCTGTAACGATTTTACTGCTATATCCAAACGTTAATGACGACAAAGATGAAAAAATTATTCATTTTCTTTAGTATTAAATATTCAGTCAAATTATTTTATATGCAAACGACAATATATATTTTATACAAAAAAAAAAATGTTTAATATTTTAAAGAAAAAAACCAATAATATGATAAAACTACATATACGCGTTATACAATATAAACGTTCAAAACATAAAAGTCTTTTTTATTAAATTTTGAATAAATTTCATTAATTTCGACAGCCACTATATTGTTAAGCATAACTCAGTTTTACAGCTTACTTTTACAGATAAAATAACTTTTATTATTTTAATATTTGGCAACATAGTTAAAGCACAAATGAATAATATATATATATACAAAAAAACTCATCAAATACAGGCAAGTTTTCAAAAGAAGCCTTATTAATATTTAATTTTAATTTAAAGTACTTATGGTGGATTCGCGATGCTCTCTTAAATTTTTAAGTTGGCTTAATGATATCGAACTTTACAGTAACTATAATTTAGATTTTGTGTGAAACTGAGAATTCTAAAATATTAACCAATCAAATATTTAATTATCAATTGTAAAAAAATGTATCTACATTGTTCAAGTTCTGAAGTCTTAATGGTTTGTTAGTATAAATTGTTACTTTGTTGGAGTTTATACTTGAATTAGTATATTATGGATTTGTGAAAATCGTATCTCTTGTAAACAAATTGTTTTAACTAATTTTATAATTGTATATTCATAAAAACATAAAATATAGAATTGTCGTATTTAGCATGTGATTCAAATTTTTTTTTTTGGCTTATGGGTTTTTAATTCCTACATATGTATAAAAGCTATTGTTGACGATAATATATAATTTGAAAAATGACTGTAGTATAAATATAGAAATCACTTAAAAAAAAAAAACATGAAACTGATTTCTTCTAAAATCTGATTTTTAAATTAATAATAATAATACAATTAGATATAATTATGTATACTTAGTACTCTATATAATACTCTTAATATTCGGTAAATATACAAAGTGTGTGTGGGTCCCTAAACATAGTGTGGGTTCATAAACATACAGATGAATTCCCTATTAGTCATAATTTGATAGCTTGCATTTTACCCGACTTTAGGTTTAATATCACCATTTAAGGAGTCATTATATTAACGGTTATTAATAAGACTTTCTATTTAAAAATCATATTACAGTCGTTTGGGTTTTATATAACATAAAACACCGTACATTTTTGCACATGTTGTTTTTTTTTTTTTTTGAAATTTAAAAGAAGTCATCGCGGTTTAAATTAACCTTCGCCGAGGGGTACGCGAACGCGCGCCGAATTCAATACAAAAATCAAATGTTAAAATTTTTTTTCCCGCAAGCCCGACAAGGAAACACGAGTTTCCGTCGGCAATTGAATACCACCAACACGGGCATGGTCGTCGGAGGAGCTGTAAAAACCGATAGAACGTGACGTGCATATAATGATTAATGTGTGCGGTGTGGCTCTTCTCCGGATTAACAACAATGCAATTCCGACAAGGCAAATTGCTTTTCTCTCCATGTTTTTGTGTACGTACTGAACAGCGGCGGTTCCACCAGAAACAGTCCATCGTAAGTCGACACCGTACTGTGCAATCGCCGTCGACCTAGACCGCAATAATGACCCGTTCACGTGCCCATCCTGAACCTGGCCCGAGTTATGATTTATATACGGGAAAAGCCGAGACCGATATGGGATTCGCTTTCTTGCGGTCAAAGTGTAAGAAAAAAAAAATATTTTAACTTGTGCGATCAGTATAATTTTATTATGCAGCATGTATATAATAGTATGCCGTCACTCAATGGTTATTGGTGTTTCAGAGACGCGCCAACTCTTACGAATCGGCTTAGGATTTAAACAGATACGTTTTATTTTCACGAATAAATAAATAAATATCTTCTATATAATATATATATATATATATAATATATATATATATATATGACCATATAGAACCATTATTCTTTTTCGGATAAAGGTAAATGCAAAACAGGTCCATGGATCATGTGAATAAAAATAGCAGAATAGCAGTCTCGTAAAATAGTATTATATATTATTGTGTATATAAAGGTATTTTTTAAGAAAAACGTATTTAATAGCGGTCGAATTCGTGGAAATAAAATAAAATTGTATAGTTAGAGAATCGACTTGAAGTCAACAAGTCAACAATATTATTCCACGGTAAAGTAAGTCTATGGACTTCATAACTCGTTAGATAGTTTTGGAGATACAATTATCTTTTGAACTTTTTAATTTACCATTTATAATCGATAATAACATCCGTGCGACCAATCTACCGACAATTTTCTTATTTGTTTAATAATTTTACAATATATTTTTCTATTCCAGATGATATTATGTATATTAATCATCTTATAACCCACAAGATGTTTCAGCCACCTTTTTCCTCTCTTCCTAATTTTTTCTATCTATCAAATAAATACCTCCAACACTTCCATTTTAATCTCTCTGTTTTAACACGTCGATTTAGTGCCATCATTTTACACGCGTTTTCTTTCAAAATATGTTTTCTCCTATTTTATCGCTATTGACGCAGCTCTCGAGTTACGTATAACGCCCTTATTCTTACCTCGCTATTTAACCGGGTCACAGGACACACATCCATCTCAACCTTTTCGTTTAAGCTACTTCCTTTTTTCTTTCGTTTTTTCCTATTCAATGCAAAACACTATGCTATAACTTCCATTTATCATAAGATTTTCCTTTCGCTCTCCAACTGCCACATTTGCGTTACACAACGCGCGTAGGTATTGTCGGCTCGCCTCGCTCACGTCTCACCCACTCGTGTCACGTCTGCTGTAGATGATAAAACAATTATTTTTCTTACGTTTCAGAATTCTGGGAGGAACACTTCCAGTGCCGGTATCCGGGCAGCATGAGAACGCCGTACAACTCCAACTACTCGGCGGTGTGCAACACTAGCTTCCATCTGACCAAGAAAGTGCCCAAGTTCGAAAACCAATTGCAGTTTGTCAGCGACTCTGTGCTGGCGTTCGCTTATGCGTTGTACGACATGCATTTCGAAAATTGCGGCCCGTCCGCCGTCGGGCTTTGCGAAGCGATGAAACCCGTCAAGGGTCCTGAACTTCTAAAGTACCTGAGGAAAGTCCATTTCAAAGGTAAGTCTCGCGGGTACCGTAAAGTCGTCATAATGTTTTCCGCCGGAGTTAATCGTTAAGCGCGAATTGGTCGCTCGGTAAACTCGGTCGCCGCAACGTTGATTTCGAATGAAATACACTTTTCGAAACTTTTCCGGCGTATTGTACTCGTCGTAAATTGTTTTTAAATTTAAGCGCCGGTACAATAAACACTCAATTGGTTATATTTACATGTACATTGATTCCGTAACATTTCGAAATCATAAACGTATTAGATAAAGCGCCGGTCGTTTTAAACCAGCCGAGTTCAATTGATTGTATAGTTTGAAAATTGTACTGCATAAGTGTAATACTTTGTCAACGTCTCGAAACGTGACGACGTTAATACCTTATCAGTCCTCGCGAGTCGACAGATGCTGTGATACTGATAATCCGCTGTGTCGTTGCGGCTAATTATTTGAATTATGAAGTTTGTTTTAAATGGGGGTTATGTTATTGCTACTTGTTTTTTTTTATGATGAAAAAATCCGGGTTTCAGACATCTAAATTTATGGATTGATCGGATCAGAATTATTCCCGCAGTGAAAACTATATATTTTAAGTTCAACATGTTAATTAGTATGATTTAATTTTCTTAGAATATAGATATATCGTGTGTGGTTAAACAATTACAAATACTACTAAAATAACTTATAGAGTTACAGTAATACATATTGTTTCGAATATACCTATTAGGCAAATCCGGTAAATACTGATTTAAACGTCCAATTACTTGGGATATTTGGATTTTGGTCTCATTCTCAATTGTTTATTTTTTTTGTTTTTCTGAATTAAAATTTATAGAGCTTCTTGTGTGATTTTTTTTATTTCCCTTGTTGTTACAATCCCAAACCTGACATAGAGCGCACTTGGCACTAAAAGACAGAGGTTTGAAACATTCAATAGATTAATGGATTGCCCACATTATACGCATCTGCGGGAATTTGTAGTGTAAGCATTGCGGGGGTTTAATATATGGACGTTTCATTTTTATTATAATGTATAAGAAAGAGCCTATACAAGAAAACATTCATCAAACTGTTGGCCGTTGACTTTAAATCGATGTGAAAAAGTAGTGTAAGAGAGAATGGGATAGGTAGAACGAACGGTCGATGTTTGGTCTTATTAACCCGTGTAGTATTGCGTAATATAATCATATTAAACTTACAAGCTAGACTAGATCTTATTCCATACTTCGTGGTGGCCGCAATACTTGAACTACAAATGTTTGAAATTCTGTTTTTCCACGGTATATAAAACTATTTGGGTGAGCTAATACCTTATTCTAGATTAAATAAAATAAAATATTATATAAAATTGTACTACGAAAGCGTCTATTGATGGTTTATAAATGATATTTTCAGGCATATTCTATATTTTTTATTAAACAAAAAACACATATGGTAAAAATTATGTTTCATTGTATCTAGCAAGAATCATAATTTGATTACGGTTTACACGGTTTCAAGTGAATGTTTACTCAGAATAACTGTTGTTAAATATTGGTTTTTTATAAAATAATAAAAACGTTATCGTTATGTATTCAGTTGTATTTGATTGAAGAGAAACGGCCTAACTCAATTATCCCTGAATAATTTGTATTTTTCAAATTTTACACATAAAACACGTGTGTGTACATGACAAAACGTATTTTTTAATATTTGATGAATATTATTATTTTTATTAATTTTACAAGCCCTTTATTTGTTCAATTGTCAGAACTTAAAAAAGTGGCATCGTTCGATCTAAAAGTTGACCGAATTCGGTACTTGTCGGGTTAATTTCAAAATCCGTATTCACTATACCATTCGAGGTGACTTGAATTTTGTATTTTTTATCTCGTCATTTTAGACATTTCCTTTTTAATGGACAAAAAAAATACATGACAATTATAACAAGATTGTGAGTTCATAAAAACGTTATAAAAATGGATATTTTCTTAACTGGCTTAATACACTAGTGGCACAGCTAATTTGTTGAGGGTAACGTAAAGTAAGGAAAGTCATGTTTGCTAATTATACCTCACAGACCATTATAAAATCGTTAACCGGTAGATTTGGTTGGTGAAATAGTAAATGAGTATACGTCAAATATTTCTTTGCAGAAAATAATGATTATAAAAATATCCTCTAGAGACTGCTTTCTCAATTGGGCATGAAATAAAGTTATTGCGTTTTAATCTTATTGCTACGTCAAATATATTTACATTGGATTCGAAATTTTATTACTTAATTTGTTTTTAAATGAAAAATCAAATAGTTCTCGGAAAAACATAACAGGTTGTAAACACAAAATATAATGTTAAACAAATAAGCTATTAACAAAATCTTGCAAAATATAAAAATCGAATACGATTCAGCATAAAAAAAAACTTATTTAAATTAATAATAAAAAGCATTAAAAAAAATATCAACACAAAAAAGCAAATGAAGCGAAGCGAGGTCGGGCGATCACTACAGGCGTATCCAATTTTAACTTTTTAAGCTTTTGGCCCTCCTAACCTTATTGCTTAAAACACTTTCCTTAAGTAATAACTTTTTACCCAAGGTACTTGCCTTAAGTTTACAATTTCTACAACCGTTAGACAGTATATTTTATGAAGGTCCAGTAAACATTTTACATAGGTCGAAAAACCAAAAGAAAAAAGTTAACAAAACCATCTTGTATGGCATCACGCGTTGAAGAAAATGTTTTTTTTTAGTTAAATTTGTTTTTGTGCAAAATAAACGTTTTTTTACTATATAATTAAATAGTAATCATATCTCAGTTGGTCTACGACGTAATATGTTATATAAACAATTTAAATAACCATTGATTGTAATCTTAATTGATCACGTTGAGGTAACGACCAGAGAACCGCGCTATGTATAAATATTTATGTAAAATAGGCATATTTTCAGGTAACACTAAAGCAAACGCACATTCAGTGTGATTTTATACTCGTTAAGCAAATAATTCATCAAGTATTATCGCTGTAATATTGTCGTACGAGTAAAGACGTCAGATTATAATACCTTTATTATAATAAACTATCAAAATATTTTCATAATTTTTTGAGAAAACTATTTGATATTAAAGTTTTAATAAGTTCGTATTTTTAGGTTAATTTAATGTATAAAAATAAACTTTCTTTTAATTCCTTTAACAGAGTATTATAGAAAAAGTTACTTTTAGATCAATCAATTTACTATATTCCCTCTGTACTAAGGAAGAATTTCTTAATCGTTTGAAATAAAATAACAATAATAAAAATACTGGACAATGTGACACTTAAGCACATTTTTTTTTAATTAAACGTAGGTTGGATTTCTTTTACTTAATGTTATCAAAAAAAAAATTAAAAATAAAGCTATATAATATATATATATATATATATATATATATATATATATATATATTTTATATCATGTCTAATACCGTAATACAGTAATAAATCATATTTGCTTTATTACCGTACTGTAATAGACTATGAGAATAAGCCAAAGACGAATGATACATTATAAAAAAGTTCTTCAAAAACCACGGCGCGTCCAAGTTTAAGGAAAAATCCCTTCCGGCAAATTTTGTCCACGGAGTACCTGCCGCGTATTGTTATTAAGAAAAATAAGTTTCACAAAAGAGAAAATGTAATTAATCTATTTATATCTGAATTTGTAAAATATTTGACTTTCGATTTAAATGGCAGATAAAATGTTTGCAAGGCTCTATTAAAGACTTTCACACAGGTATTACATACATATTATATTTTAACACATTGCGTACGAGTCCGCAACACCACGGGATACATTTTCATGTATCTAAGGTTGCTAGTAGACATATTTTTAGTAACATGTTTTGTGTCTGTACCGAAATGTAACATCATGTTTTTGTGTTCTTCAAAAATATGAGATGACTATGGAAGCCACTCTGTTGTAGTTATAAAATACTTTCTACATTGTTGGTACATATTTATTTAGTTCTCAGGTGACCGTTTAGCAACTGTTAGATAATGTCTCATCGAATACGTTTTGTGCAAACAATAATTCAAATTGAGCTGGATTTTTACACGGTTAGTTTTTTGTAAGATCTGAATTTCAGAATGACCCCAGGCGTTCGTTGTAATACTAACCGCTCGAAAACGGTTATAGAGAAAGTTTTGTCAAACGATTTATGAGCCGATTTACGTTGCAATGACAAAGTATACACCTTGATCTGATATAATTCTAGACACTGTTAACCGTATACAACACGTTTGTATAATTGCATGAGACGCTCACAAAGTTTATCGCAAAATTCTTAACACCGCACCGTATAGTCAGAAACAGATGACTGTTGTTTCCATTAAGACGTTTTTGTGCGAGAGCGGGTCCAAGATTTTGGCAAAGTTTTTTTTTACGACACTTTAGTACTTGTTACAAAATTATCGCGGTAGCTCGTTTTGCACGCACACAAAAAAAAAATCCGCTTTTATTACAATTTTGTTTTTTCTTTAATTATAATATGTAAATAAATTCAATTTAAGTTTCTTGAAGATATTATAAAACTAATTTCATTTTCTAGTGACCACGGGTTAAATGAGAAAACTTACTATACTCGATCGCCGCACTGTGCTGGTTACATTTAAATATCTTACTTGAAACCTAATCAAAAATATTTTGTCACTAAAATTTTCTATGACATTAAACTTACCAACAAACTGTCATCTACTCTATTTTAATGCATAAATACTCAAGTGTGCAGTCTATGGTTTGGAAGTTAAAAATAATTTTTCTATTCAAGTCGAAATGTGTTGTACAAATATTCTAACAGAGATCATTCCGACTTTCAGAATTGTTTTCTAATAGTTTAAACAATTTTCAAGATTTATTAAACTGCATGTAAAGTATTTTTAATTTAAAAAGTTAATAAAATATATATGTTGCTATTTAAGTTTCAAAAGTTGATATAAAAATAATTAGTTTGGCAGGGGTTAAAAACTTAAACAAAATGGGAGAGATATTGAG